TTTTACTATCGTCTTGGAGAATGTCAAATAGTGAATGGAGGACATTTTCAGCATTTGCGACATTGAGTTTATTTTTGTAAATTATCTAGTTGTTTCAATTTCTAAATGAAAAAAAACTTGTTATTGAAAAAATAAAACTTGTTTATTTGGTATGGCTGGATTCGGTTTTCTATAAGCTTTTCAAAGAGCCCCCTCATGCCTTATGTTTCCATTTGAAAAAAAAGTGCGAGTAGCTGGGGGGTTAGGGGGTTGGAGAAAAATAATTAATTATTATATAACCGAAAGATGGGAAAAAAATCAAAATCAGTAAACGTGTTTCGGCGTTTTAAAAAAAATAACTCGTGCAAAAGATATGAATTTTATTCCGTACTTCTGGCCATCCCTGTATAAAACACCGCAGTCTGTATTGCATTACAGTAAACACATAAATTACAACAATAATAACAATAGCAGCATTAAATAAGAAACATACCTAAGAAAATAACATTGTCCTAACGAATCTTTTGAATTTTGCATTACTAAAATATCCTGCACCGAGTGTGACGCTCTTGTACAACCGGTACATATCATATTTAAAACCTCTCTAAAAAAAAGACGTTTTATGGTGAGGAGGGCTGAGCAAACCTTTGGATCTAATATTGATATTATGCACATCGCTGCGAAATATAATTTTGTGATATAAATAAGGTGCAGTCTTAGTACGTAAAAGTTTATGAAAAGTGAATAAAGCTTTCTCTGTCTGAACATGTCCAACCAGCCAAGTTCATACTACTTATGCGATACATGATCAAATTTACCAATGCCAAAAATAAAACGTATACACGCATTTTGAACGCATTGGATTAGGTTGCTGCTATCAAGATCTAGGCAAGGTCCATATACAGGGGTACAAAATGGAAACTGGGATAATATCAATGTCTCACAAAGCATTCTCTTAGTATTTAAGTTTAGATATTTACAATGGGGATAGAGAAGCCGCAATCCTAGATATGCTCGTTTGAATATTCGTACAATTTTTCATTTTTTTAGGAATTGGCGTCACTAGAGCAATTTTCCAGGAAGAAAGAAATTGACAGTGAATAAACATACTGTTAATTATATAAGCAACATAATAGAAAATATAAGAACAGCATAGCTTTATAAAAAATATACTCAGCAAATCAGCACCAGCCGAGGATTTTTTAATAATCTGGTGAACATTTCGCACGGTATCGATTGAGACGAGTTTGAATTTGAAACTTAAGCTAAGAACTTTATTGAAATTATAATAATTTAAGATGTTAGAATTGTCACCTATACCTATTATCTGGAATATTGTCTATAAAACAATTATTAACAGCATCCTGATTCGATAAATTAACAGGTAATGGTGAATTACAGCTATTAGANATTGTCAGCATTTTCGATATTGAATTTATTTTTGTAAATTATCTAGTTGTTTCAATTTCTAAATGAAAAAAAACTTGTTATTGAAAAAATAAAACTTGTTTATTTGGTATGGCTGGATTCGGTTTTCTATAAGCTTTTCAACGAGCCCCCTCATGGCTTATGTTTCCATTTGAAAAAAAAAAGTAGGGGTAGCTGGGGGTTAGGGGGTTGAAGAAAAATTAAATATTATATAACCGAAAGATGAGAAAAAATCAAAATCAGTTAACGTGTTTCGGCGTTTTGAAAAAATTAACTCATTCAAAAGATATAAATTTTATTCCGTACTTCTGGCCATCCCTGTATAAAACGCCGCAGTCAGTTTTGCATTACAGTAAACACATAAATTACAACAATAATAACAATAGCAGCATCAAATAAGAAACATACCTAAGAAAATAACATTGTCCTAACGAATCTTTTGAATTTTGCATAACTAAAATATCCTGCACCGAGTGTGACGCTCTTGTACAACTGGTACATATTATATTTAAAACCTCTCTAAAAAAAAGACATTTTATGGTGAAGAGGGCTGAGCAAACCTTGGGATCTAATATTGATATTATGCACATCGCTACGAAATATAATTTTGTTATATAAATCATGTGCAGTCTTAGTAAGTAAAAGTTTATGAAAAGTGAATAAAGCTTTCTCCGTCTGAACATATCCAACCAGCCAAGTTCATGCTACTTATGCGATACATGATCAAATTTACCAATGCCAAAAATAAAACGTATACACGCATTTTGAACGCACTGGATTAGGTTGCTGCTATCAAGATCTAGGCAAGGTCCATATACAGGGATACAAAATGGAAACTGGGATAATATCAATGTCTCACAAAGCATTCTTTTAGTATTTAAGTTTAGATATTAAGCCGCAATCCTAGATATGCTCGTTTGAGCTTTGTACAATTTTTAATTTTTTTAGGAATTGGCGTCACTAGAGCAATTTTCCAGGAAGAAGGAAATTGACAGTCAATAAACATACTGTTAATTATATAAGCAATATAATAGAAAATATAAGAACAGCATAGCTTATATATATATAAAATATACTCAGCAACTCAGCACCAGCCGACGAATTTTTTATAATCTGGTGAACATTTCGCACGGTATCGGTTGAGACGAGTTTGAATTTGAAACTTGAGCTAAGAACTTTATTGAAATTATAATAATTTAAGATGTTAGAATTGTCACCTATACCTATTATCTGGAATATTGTCTATAAAACAATTATTAACAGCATCCTGATTCGATAAATTAACAGGTAATGGCGAATTACAGCTATTAGAAACAATATTTAATGATTTAAAATTTTTATTGGTTGAAATATAATTAAAATAAGACAGTTTTTCCACAATTTGAGCATGATTAACTGCATTCCGTAACTGTTTAAAGCAGGAGAAGATTTTCTTTTATATTCAAAACTTACCTTATCTCTTTGTCTCATTAACAATTTGAGATTATCTCTAACCAAGGAGCCTTATTTTTTGTTATTCATACTGTTCTCAAAGGTACATGCTTATTATAAAGGTTTGAGAGATGCAACGTCAAATGACTAACTTTGTTATCAATATTTGTCGTATAAAATAAATCAGAAAGAGGTAATCTTAACAAGTCATTAAAAAATTCATCTTCATCAAAGCGTTTGAAATCACGATAAGTGTAGAACCTTGATGTAACATTAGCAGGACTTGAAGAAATTTGACATTGCACAAGATCATGGTTGGATATATTCAGACCTTCAACCTTTACCAAAGAGACAATGTTCAAATCATTACATTTAATAACATCATGTAACGATGCATTAGTAGCAGTTATGTGTGTAGCTTCATTAACAATTTGATGAAAGTTTAGTGATTTAAGCATATTTAAAAAATAGCGAGTTGTATTCGAATTCAAAGATAACAAATTAAAATTAATATCACCAAAACAAATAATATTATCTCCAAACTGCATACAATTAGATATAGATATCTAGCTAAACAGAACATTAATATTGACATCAATTGGTAAAAACATGTTCCTTGACTGGGGTCTACACTCACGCGTACCTATATTGTTCTCGAACAATGTTTCTGTAGGTATGTATGTACATAAGGGGTCAATATTAACATGAATAGCCATATTATCAATACCATATCATGACACAACACTTTTAGTATAATTTTTAATATGAGAATAATCAGTAACTGCCATCCTAACATCACATAACTTAAGCTTAATGCATGGTAAGGGTTAGCAATGCAAGGAATACATAACACATCTAGGTTAAATGATACTTATAACTAGTTTCTATCTTTTCAAAACAATGCAGTGACATATTTGCATTTGAAAAAATAATGTTTGTTGATCAATTACGAAAAATCTATTAATATGATATATAATTATAATGATGAATTATATCAGTATGGTCAACAGTGGTAATGAGTTAAGAAGTAAGGAAAATAACACATATTTACATGGTGGATTAGAACACTATTAAAAAGATGCATTGGACCTTCTTCTTTATTAAAGTTTGCGAGAAGAAAGCAAAGCAGATCTTTTGTTACAAAATATAGTATTTTCCCAAAACTGCGCAGAATACTCACGGAAAAGTTAGAAATAGCGAAAAAAGTAAAACAGAAAAAAGAGAAAGACTTACCTGTGTCTGTAAAGCCCCAACCTGTGACCACACAATAGCTGATTCTTGCATTTCTGGTATCTTCAGTAATAGGTAAGCAGACTGGTCTAACATTTTCTAGAACAGATACACCACGTTATTACTGCTTGAACAATTTCTCGACATGCTGTTTTATAAAAAATATATGGTTCCAGTTTTTCCACAATTGCATGTACGTTTTGTAATAGATTGAATAAAATGAATTACCTGCGTCCGAGTTCATTTTGGAAACTCTTAACAGCCCAATGTCGTTAGATATAACCTCTTTGTCATATCCAGGGTGAACTATGACCTCTTCTATGGCTAGATCTTGGACGGGAAGGGGTGAGCAAACTTCGTTACCGTCGTCTTGCACTTCACAATCTACTTTTGAAGAAATCTTGTGTTCACCAACCCGTACACCTAATCTTAATTCGGAACAAAAATATAAGTATAAGAATAAAAGAAGTATATATTTGGTTTTAGATAGGCAACGTATAATATTTCTTTCTTATTTTTTTAACACTTCAACACCTTGTATATTGAAAACTAAGCTTTTATGGGCAATATTGTATATGACATTTTCTCATTTAATTTAAATTTGGTCTATTTTTTAATGGACACCCTGTGTAAAATAAAATTTAGAATTGCAATGTTCGAAATGTCTCAGTGTTGTGAATAAATTTTTGCATCCTAGATGAAAAATAGAAAATACAGATGCATTTGTATAAATGTATGTACACAAAAACTCACAAGTCCAACACTTTTTAAACAACATCTTTTTATATAGGCTTTTCTACATGTTTCGTTTGTGCAAAAGCATGTAGATTTGGACTAGGCTCAACAGAATTTTTTTTAATGTATAGTCATTAATATTTTTTTTTAATTTCGAAGAAATTACATGACATTAAACTAACAAACTATAAAAGAAAAATGTTTAAATCTAAATATTAAAGCAACTACTCACAGTGGGGACATTAAGTTTGTTATACAGTGGGCAGCAGTAAGAATATATCTGTCATTCACTATTGCTCCACCGCACTGAAACTGAGGCCCAGAACCTGAAAATACAATATTATTATGTATATTTAAGCTTATAGTTTAGTATCTGCAAGTACACATGTACAGAGTGTAAACAAAATGCTTAGTCAAACTTTAATGGAAGATCCTACTTTACGAATTAATAAAAGTGGTTTCATAACTGGGTATCTAGAGATGCCTTAATTTCGAGATTCGGGACATTCCAAATTAATACACATATGAGGTGTATTCCAAGTTGTAAAGCATGGTGACGGATTCTGACAAAACCTTTAGTCAGGATTTCACCGATGTCACAGATGTGTATGGAAGAACATGGTAAAAAATCATACAAACCTAATGTATACCTATTCTATTAGAAAGAAATTATTATTGGATACTGAACAATAAACAAGCGACCACATTTTTGTTTAACACATTACAAATGTGGTACAACATTTCACCAAATTTGTCCTACTATCTGATCAAACCACCCATCATACATATTTCAATTGCAACAAAATGTGCTGTCAAATTAACTAAAAATACTTCAAAAATCGAGAAGGTGTCTAGATTTATAGATGTGGTTATTAACTTAGTAACTAAAAAAACAAATGATATTCTATTATGTTTTTTGTTAAAAACTCTAAGAAACTTCATATTTCGTATCTATAATTCCCTCGAAAATGAATTCTTTTAATGCCAATTTTTGAAAACCCTTATTAGTAATTTTCTTCTGACAATTAGTAACACGATATTTTTCTGGACTCCTTGATTTGGTATATTGCAATTTTTTAATTACTAAAGACTCATTGGACAAACAAAAGTTTTACACTTTTATTCGAATAAAAGTGTAAATTGCCCTATTTTTGCAGTATTAACTTCAAAAAAAAAATTAAATAAATCAATAGAAAATAGAAGAATAAAATAATTATTCAAACATTACATGTTTAAATATGTATGAGTATACAAGATTTAAAAAAAAAATATATGAAAGTAAACCTTAAAAATGAATACTACATTCTTATAGAAATTAAAACGCAACATTTTGATGGGAGGTGTATATCAGCATCGTCCTATTAAGTTTTATTAAAAAGAATTACAAATACTGGCATCTAAAAATAGCAGGCTTAGGACCTGCAATTTTTGGGTTAGTTTAGAAAGTTATAAATAAGTTCCATTTAAAAAATAAAAATTACAAACACTGGTATCTAAAAATAGCAGGCTTAGGAACTGCAATTTTTGGGTTAGTTTAGAAAATTATAGTTAAACTCCATTTAAAAAATAAATTTGAGCTTAATTTAACTTTACTTTTGATGTTACTGGCTTATATATTTATAAATGGGGGCCCTCTGTATCTCATTCTCAACAATTTTTTTTAGTATTTTCAAAATCAAGTTGTAGAATCGTCGAACTCAATTATTTAAATAACACTTTGTTTTCTTGACAGATAACATGATTCTTTGAAAAACTATTTACTGTTTTTTGTGTAAAAATAATTTGATATTTTGACACTTGTAGCAAAAATTACGTAGATATAGTCTAACATTTTATTATTTGTCTTAAAAACTGTACAGTATGCACTGAAAACAAATTTGAAACAGCACGGAAAAGAAAAAATGGCTCGAAAAATACTACGTTCGTCGTTGTAGCGGAAAAACCTTGTATAATGAATAAAGGGTGTTCCAATTTACAGGTGCACAAGTCTCATGTATATATTTTTAAGACCTTAAAAGAGTACATATTTACAAACTACTTAGTTTAACTTTCCCGAAACTGAAAATCCTACGTTCCTCCGACTTCTTTTGAGAGCACAATTTCCTCGAACTCTAACATCTACACCCCCCCAAATACCGCTGCACAAATTATTATAAACCTAAAATAAATTTGAAAAAAGAACAGGGGATATAAAATGTTTCCTTGTGAAATAAATTACTTATTGCCCACAATAAATCATACATGCTTTCTCAGTCTCTGCCAATGTTGATATTAATATAGTCAACCTAATTAAAATTCTTTATCCAAAGGTGATTCCCCTAAGCTTATAAACTGACCTTGATGATGTAAATAACCCACTAACATCTTGCAGAAAGTACCTACTTAAGCGGAAGATATTCATTATTTTTAATGTTATGAATATATTTCCAAACTGGTTTACCGTGTTATTGTCTTTGTATTATTTATATTAATTAATTTTAACTACTTTTAATACACAGTGATACAATATAAAGAAATAAGCGACTTTTTCTACAGATTATGACTTATAGGCTTTTGTTTTTGAGATATAGGACACCAAAGACGATTTTTTAAAACCTGATTTTAGCGAAATCTTTTTCATAAGACAGTATATAGCTTTCGAATTTGATCGGTGAAAGTACTACATATGTCAAAGTTGTTGTTAACGTTTTACCGCCTGTTAAAAATGGGCTAATTCTAATCTCTCCCATCCACATTTTATAGAATAAATTTTTCGAGATTAGCTGTTTTAGAATGTAATACATTCTAGTAGGTATAAAGTTTTTCGCAAAAAAGTACTATGTTAAAATTGAGGAAAACGTAATTAATTCTTTCACATCTCCCCTTTATGTGCACGGTGCCCTTGAACTGATAGCTAGGCGTTACTGGAAAATGGAAAAAAGAAATAGTTTACCGTCCTAAGGCCGTTACATCACCGGAATTATTTTTCCTAGTTTCATAAATTTTTTCTTTACATCACATGAAAATCATATTTTTTGTCAATAAACTTTTATTGAAAACGTTGTTCGTTGCCTCTTTCCATTCAAAATATTTAAGACAAAATGTATAAAAAAATTAAACCTAGAAGACCAACTCTACTGATTTTGTCAGCAAGGAACAACAAAACAAACAATACTTTCAATGTACACTTCCTTTACTTTTATGTTTTAATTATTTTTGTGCATACTACGACATTTATAAAAAAAATGAATATTCAGTGAAAAAGTTGAATTTTGAGGAAGCTTGGAAAGATTCGAAGTTAACAGTACTTGGACAAATCAATGTTTAAATCAATTATAAATTCCTTAAAGATTCCGGCTTACGGTTTCCTATTTGTTCTTTCCGTTTTCGTGTAATGGTGATCTACCATCAATTCTGGATCATTTTATCACAGAATGTCCAGAAACGAATGGGTCATACTTTTTTAGATGAAAATAAACCAATATACATAGATTAAGTTACCTTGGTGAAATCATGATCCATTACAACGTTGTGAACATTTAGAAAATGAAATAAAATCAATTTTTTTAAAGCCTGTGAATTTTTACTGAAACAAAATTGATAGACGAATTTAGCACCCCCAAAAACGGCAATAGGAAAACGGAGTAGGAAAAATTGTCTTATTATTTTGTATTCCATCACATTCTAAATTTATTGCTTATTTGATATTAAAAATTTAACATTTTCTCAATTTTCAGTAGAGATTAAACGGAATGTTTATTTTTCAGTAATTTATTTAGTTTTCCAAAATTTGTATAAAATCAAAATTGGCGTCGCAATATTTTCTATTTGGAAGAAACATAAAACATCAAATCTCCACATTAAACTAAAATATTATTTTTATCACCAAGGTGTAAAATAATTAAAAACGAAATGTTGCTTAAACAAAAAGTGGGTAAAATTGTTAAATGAGTAGATATTTTACGTGTAGTATTCTTGCATGTAAATATGAACAAACTTTTATGAAATATTGAAAAAGAAGAAGCAAAACTCACTCGTTTTGTAAGAAAGAAGCGCCATCCAAGGGAACTCGTTCAGATTTGCATCTTTCCCGTTTCGAATTTTATTCGGGCTGTCCAAATACCCGCATTCTTCTGGCAACAATTTGAAATTCTTGTGGTTCGAAACGTCGGGCGGGGGAGGTGGATTTTGCAGCGAGAGGTCATTCAGTTGCAAATTTATGCGAATTGGTTTTGACGGACAACACACTTTAAAGGTTTCGTCGTAGCCACAGATGTATTTATTCAAAACGATCCTAACTTCTTCGGGAATTGGTGAGGGAGCAGCTTGTAAGAAATCAACGATGGGTTTGCATTCCTTTATTTTGATGCAGTTTCCTGCGCCACCATCGGGTGTCCTGCATCCTTCGTCGTCCACCAACCATTCTGTAAAAAAGTGCAGTCACTGATTAGCAACTAGTATTGACAAACCGGCAACATTTAATACCTCCTGTCAAATAAGTAGCCATTATCAAGTGAATAATACGGATATCGAAATCATTTTAAGCAAGGAGGTTCAAATGATATAAAGGATGTCCCAAAAAGAAACGCAGGAGATCATATGAGGAAAAAGATTTTATAAATTAAACTGTTGGCAAAGCTTTTACATGCTTTTTAACCAACATCTAATTAGCGAATGTCCGGCACATTAAATGGTCATCTGGTTTCAATTCCTGGGTTAGCTGAATCTTGAATGGAAGCAGATGCAGATCTTTCGTCAAAATCCGCTGCACTGTGCCTTTTCAAATGTTTAATTGCAGTGACCGACTGACGTAACTGGAATTTTCGCCGTACTATCATTCACCCCAGCAATATTTTCGGCTGAAGGACCAGTACGAGGCAGGCCTATTTTTTTTATTGTTGCAACCGAACCTGTTTGTTCAAATTTGGCAACTAATCTTTACATTCTGGGCTATCCTTCTACATAATTCCACGTAATTTGTGCACAGTCTCAGCTACACACTCTTCATACTTGTAATGAAATTTCACAATCTGATGCAATGCGTTTACTACATCAAGTGACCGTACACAATGCTGCCAACTCTTCGGAATGAAAATGGCGCACAATTCAAATCAGGCCTTTAGGGATACCCTTTGGATGCAACGATAACTGGCGGGGTACAAAGATAGAAGGTCCGCCAATATTACAGAAAATAAATTTGTCTTCGAATACATTGTCAAAACTAAAGCGGTTAAGCAGCCTTCAGTTGCATATTTGTCTTCCTTATTAGCCGTGAAACAGATCTTCTGTAAAACAACCAATAACAAGGAAACTCATTAAAAATAAAATAAAAGCTTCAAGCTCTTATTTTTACTGATTGCACATGGCTGTATTCTAGAAGAAAATGAAGAGTCAGTAAACGTATATGAAAAAAAAATTCTTTTCATTATCATTTATAAAACTTTGGATTAATCCAAGAAATACATTTCATTTATAGTGATTTGGTCTTCAAGTGAGGAGATAAACTCTAAGTAGCATGGAAAACTTTATTCTACTAATTTCGCTGGTAACACGAGACACAACCGAGCAGGAACTAGACTTCAAGACTTCTGGTTCGTGCCTTGAAATGTTTTCGGTTTTTATCCTTGTCCCCAGGTACCTACTTTTATTACTCTATCCTAATTAACACTTATCCGGGTCATTACCTACTCGGTTTGTGCTTATGTACTATCTAAACAACAACTAAGTTATGTTTACAGCCTACTTATTTTAATCTCATTTGCTAAGTACATTTATTTGGGATAATCTCGGATAATTCAAAGTATAATTTGTATGGCTCGTAAATTCCCAGAAAGCAAAATATATTTATTGGGGCAGGTACTAAATGTAATTGTAGCGTACTGCTACACATTTCAGTATATTGTTTTTTTTTCAAATGAAAGGCTATGGCAAACGATTAGTTGAAAATTTATATATATTTTTTGATTTCTTGTAAATTTCTTTAGATTTGTTTAATATTTAAATATATTTTCAACACATTTTTGTGATTTTAATATATGCCTCATTTCCAATGACTAATATTTCAAATGATACACAACTTATTTGTAAGTTGTAAATTTTTAATATTTGTCACATAAAAAATGAATATGCACTTCTGCCGCCATTACATAATTAGTTCATCGACCTGTTTGTTCAAGTAGGTAGAGCCACATGCTAATGAACTTTCATAGTTGTTGTCAATTGTTAGTAGAAAAAATTGTGTTTCTTCTTTTTTATATTTTGAGAATACTGTTACAATCGCCACAGACGTCTTATACTGCCAAGAATTGTTTGCTTATTGTAAACCGCACGCGGGGCGCAAATAAACCTGAGTTCTGAATTTTGAGAAATAAAAACTTCCACGAATTCATCAAAATTCAGACTGTGGTAGAGCAACACAAACACCATATAAAGCTACAGGTCAAGAACCCGTACGAATTAAGCAGAATCCAGAGATGGGCAGCACCTCTGCGGAGCCACCATAGAAGGTGTTCGAACGTCGACCTTGTACCGTATAACTAGCCAGAACATGCAGTACACTACAAGTTTTATATTTGCAACAAATAAAATCATGTGTAAATCAAATATTTATTTATTGTTATTAGCAGAATTTCAATAAATCCAAATTTTTAACAAATCCAAACAGCGACGATGCTATGGGATACAGGTACACTCAGGAGACGTCCATGTAATATCCAAGTCCATATTCTCTCAACAGACCTCAAACCAGTGCTCAGGCAGGACAAAGGTCGAAAAGACTCTGGTCTTTATCACTATCACTATAAACAAAGAGTACACATACTTCCAAAAATCCCGTTCATCGCTTTGCACGTCATAGAAAGCAAGTCAGCACCGCAGGTGATAAATGAGGATTTTGCTAAAAATGCCAGTTTTTCCCAGACTAGATGCTTGGAATTACGAAACCCCCAACAACATAATCTGCGACAATAGATTACACACGATGGGGTGTAAAATCCAGTGATGTATGATTTTAAATAATCAAACGAAACTGTTTTTCATCAAATTTGCCAATTATAAAAATGATAAGTAAGCTTTGTGTGAACATCTATATAGGATAAATTGGAGTATACGTTTAGTTAATTAAAAAATGACACATAAAAAGGTACGTAACAAAGCATCGTGTCTAGAGTTATATGTCGGTACACTGTAATTAACGAAATTAATTACCCATTCACATTTATTCCTATAGTGAATAACCTTGTGCAAAAATATAACACTGTGCGTTGGTAAGACTCTACAGGTTGAAACGAGTCGAGAATATGTCTTATGGAATACCTCCAGTAGGATAAATAAACTCCATCGAGTATCAGAATAGCGAATTTAAAAAAATCTATGCTGGACTCTGATACCTAAGTGATTTAAGGTGGGTTCTCATTAATCAATTTCATTGACCAGTATCGTGGAATCTATGCTGTTGAAATAAAATATATTAATGTAAACATCCGTTCAACGCTATTGCTCAATAATACTGTGTTTCAATAAAAGTGACATTTCTACTTTTCGTTGATCGGTAGGACTGATTCAATTGAATTGAACAGAGCTTCACAGTGAGAGCAAGTGTTCAGTCGCATCTTTAGGCCATTGTGTGTGTTTTTGATGTTAACTTTGTTCATGTCATCAAAAATTGTATGAAGAATCTACCCAAACCTTTTTGTGTTTTATGTACAACCTAGACAAATTTGTAAAACATGTCCAATTTTAAATGGATTAACAGTTATTTCTCAAAATATCTGGAATTATTGTACCAAAAAGAGGAATGCATATGGAATGTTAAAAGTGATAAGTATAAGAATATAGCAATGAGGGAAAAAGTTACGAAAAAATTCGTTTCGGAATGGAAATAGAAATGTTTTAAATTTCTCTTCAGTCATTCTTAAATGGTTTTTATAGGCATCCAAGTCATCTGCAGTTAATTTCACTAACAGCTTCACTGAAGCACCTTAGTACCTCCGTTTTAAGGTTCATGGTTTGACCCACCAACGACGAGGTTTTCTTTTTTCTTTGCACCCATTTTTAATAATGACACTTTCTAGACTGTTCAATGTTCTTGAATCATGCGAACGAAGACTTTCAATTCTATGTTCAATTGCGTAGATTCAACGATATTGATCAATGACTAATGGGAACCCGCCTTTGCGAACAACAAATCACATGTTCCTATAGTAGACCAGGCGGGATCTGTTTTGGTGTAGATGTTTTATATGGTGTCGCTAATGTTTGCTTTAATGGCTCCAAAATGATATAACAAAACATAATTTCACTATGCGCGTGCTTTAAAACGTGTGCTAAACTTATTATTAAACAAATAGTGAAAACATTGGAATTCCATTTTTTTTCCTATTTTTTTCAACACAGTTCATTTTAGAGAAAAATTGAAGAGGAAAAAAGATCGTAATTAAATTTTACACAAGATATACCTATCTCCAAATAAAAAATACAACATAACTATGCAAATATAGCAAAAACAACAAAAAAAAGTGAAAAAAATTACAATATTTTTGCGATTTTTTTAAAAGTTCTAATGAGTAGGATCTTCAAACTTGGCCAAAAAATCAATTTTCATTAAAATCGGTCCGATAGTTTTCGAGTAATAATTTGGCAATCCATTTTTGAAAAAAAATAAAATTTTTGCAAATTTAACTGAGCCTAAATTAAGACTTCTACATGGGTGTTTTGAAACAGATTCCGCCCATGATACTATTATAGGTATAATATAATAATATCCTATAGTATCATGGATCCCGCCTGGTCTATAGGTACCAGCCAGGATACCATTAATGGGCTGTGTAAAATTTAATTGGGGATCAAAAGAGATACCTATACCTTTAACACAGTCTGGCATCTTGAGAATAGATTTTGGCGAGTAGTACTAACTACCACTAACTCTGCACCATTTATACTGCACAGTAGTTATCCCAACACTAAGCAATTTTTTTTTTCGAAAAAGGCTAATGTTATCAACTTGATACTGATTTTTTAAATTGAAGGAACCCTGTATGTCAGAAACGGATTAAGAAAGCATCTGCATTGATACGAACTGTTCGTCTTATTTTTGGATTAAGAAATATGACTAATGTTTTTTTAAACAGAGTCTACAGACTAAATATTTAGGTGTGTGTCAAACTGCTTAATGCTTCAGTACATTAGTTCTGTAAGATATTTTAATTGTGTAAGTCATGGGTTGTTCAATGCAATCACTGGCATTTCCTAAACCCAACCCGACTGGTGTTTTTTTTACGATGAGGTTTTTTTTTCTGTATTATTAACAATGGCTGCTGGGGATTAAAGTGGTCATATTTTAATAATAAAACGTGAGATCTGTTCTATTTTCTAGGGGATTACTTCTACGCCCCCAAAGAAAACTTTCATAATGAAAAAAAAAAAA